ATCCCTCCACTGCAGTGCAGCAGATTAACAAGTGAAATTAACTACTATCGGTCAAGACGTAGCCACGCCGTTTGCAGTGGCTTGTGCAACGCTCGAGGTGACACAGAACTCCTCAGTGGATCTCTGGTGGCCTTTTCATGTGCAGGCATCGTGGCTGGCTGGCAGTTAGAGGATGCATGTGTGAGAATGGAGCTTCAGTCCGAATGCACTATGTTTTGTGCTGTGCTTCAACCATGCTGAGATTTGAGGTGGGGAAGACTTCAGGATTCCACCCCTGGGTCCATTCTCTCCCCCACCTTCGTTGGCTTGGATGCAGAAAACAATCATCTGAGGTGCAGAAAACCCTGAGGAAGAACTTCCTGGACGTAAAAGATGTTGGACAAGGGAAAGACCTGCCTCAGAAAGCTTTTCCCCTGAATGTGTTTAGGAGGGTGGGCAACCATCTATCAGAGATGCTTCACCTGTAGGTTTCCTAACTGACAGGGGAACTAGTTGATCCTTCCAGCTCAACTTTTCTGTGATTCCAGAATTAAAGGATTAAATAAATTGAATCGTCTTCAAACCACGAGAGAAAGTAGTTCTGACACAGATTAGGTTCTATAGCTCAAGACTCTGCTGTGGAAGCTGTTATTCTTAGACCTTTTCAGTCAGCGTAGCAACTGGTCCTATTGGTGGGGGGATTCTGAACTCTGAAGTCTAGAGCTTCTCTCCGTGATGTGACTCTACTTTCCCACATACCATGCGTTTTAAAGATTATTATTGTGTGTGCCACATAATGTGTGAAATCTTATGTCTGCTTTTTCTGCAGTTCTCTCTACATAGGATTATAGTCCACACCAATTTTCCTTCCAGAAAGAACCCTTTGCTAAACTCATTGTGTTTACTGTTGAGTAGAGTTCAATGGGATTGTACTATGAATTGGATGGTTTAGTTGCATGTTTTCTTCCTTCAGATAAGGCCAACTGAATGTAGTAAGGCTGTTTTCTGAGGAAAGTGTGCATGAGAGAGTGCCAGAACTTGGAATAGTTACTTTTTGGACCACACCTTCCCTAACATGAGCTTGAGAATGAGCTGAGGTTAGGAAGGGATGCTAAAAGCAACCAAAACAGTGGGAATAGAAAGAATGGCAACAGACTACAAAGAAAAGGCAGAAGTGCTCATTAAGGTGACAGATAATTGAAGGGGTGCTATTGTCTGCAAATAAAAATAAAAATAAGGAGGAACCTGGGAACTGCAGGCCGGCCAGGCAGACATCAATCCCAGGGAAAATTCTGGAACAGCTTATGAAGCAGTCATTCCCCAAGCACCTTGAAAACCATATACTGTAGTAGTAACCAGAAGCCAACATGCCAAACTAATCTTATCTCATGCTTAGATTGGGTAGCCCCCCCTGGTAGTTCATGGGAATGCAATAATCTTATCTCATGCTTAGATTGGGTAGCCTCCCTGGTAGTTCATGGGAATGCAGTACGTATATCTTGACTTCAGCAAAGCTTTTGGTGCCATATTATTCTGAATAGCAAGCTAACAAGGTTTGGGCTGGGATAGAACAGTTATCAAGTGATTATCAATGGGAGGAAGTAACAAGTGGGGTGTCGCAAGGCTTAATCAAGTGATTATCAATGGGAGGAAGTAACGAGTGGGGTGCCACAAGGCTTAGTCCTGTGCTCTTCTACATTTTTATTAATGACTTGGATGAAGGGGCGCAGGGGCATGTTTATCAGATTTTCAGGTGACACAAAATTGGGTGGAATAGCTAACATCCTGGAAGACAGAAACAGTTCCCAAAATGATCTAAATAGGCTTGAGCACTGGGCTGAGAACAACAAAATGAAATTCAACAGGGATAATTTGCAAAGCCCGACACTTAGCGGTGGGAAGTAAACACACAGTTACAAGATGAGGGTTATTTGGCTCTCTGATACTATATACAGTATTGCAGACTGCAAGCTGAATATGAGCCAACGGTGCAATGCAGCTGCAAAAAAGGCAAATGCTATTTTATGCCACATTAACAAAGGTATAGTCTCTAAATTGCATGAAGTACTAGTTCTCCGCTATTCAGTACTGGTTAAGTCTCATCTTGAGTACTGTGTCCAGCACCCAAAGATGATCAGGGGAGTGGAAACCAGGCCCTGCAAGGAAAGACTGAAAGAACTGGGCATGTTTAGCCTTTAGGAGAGAAGACTGAGGGGAAATTATGACAGAACTCTTCAAATAGTTTGAAGATTTTCATACAGAGGAAACACAGGATCTGCCTTAATCATCCCAGAATGCAGGACGTGTAATAATGGGTTCAAGTTAAGGGAAACAGATTTCTCAGGAAAAGCTGTATCATGCTACACCTGCATCCTGGTGTCCTTGTCTCCCTGAATCATCTTCAAAAATGTCAATCGGAATAACTGTTAGAGCAGTATGACGATGGAACCAAATGCCTCAGGAAATTTTGAGCGGTGTCAACACTGGTAGCATTCAAGAGGCCATCTGTCAGGTAGACTTTGACTTAGATTTCCTGAATTAAGCAGGAACTTGGATTTGATGGTCATATCGGCCTCTTCCAGTCCCATTATTTTGTGATTGTATGAACACCCCATACTAGTATCTGATGGGGAGTGGTATTTTGTAAGTTGATGTTCTAAAAAGGGATATTACTGCCTGGCCCAGGACAGGAGTATTACATGGAAGTCAGATGCTGCTTTTAAACCAAGTTGGATCATGTGTTTCCTAGAAAGTTGTTTGATGTTAACATCCTTCTCCAAGGAAGCTGGACCCTGCTTTGTGTTAAAGTTCTGGTGACTCATGTTCTGGAAATCAGAAGATGGAAACAAATGTAAATAGAAGAAGCTTCAGGGATGTGTAGGGTAACAATCACAGCCGTTGTGTTTGGGGAGGAATCCATTTCAACACATTTCCTGAGACTGAAGGACCTGGCATATTGTTGATACAAACCTATAAGCAAGACTGAATAAATTAAGTGGGTTTTTTTCTAGTCAGTGGTTTGGGGTTGGATGGTTGGGTAGTGGCTTAATGGGACACTGACAAAATGTCCTCCATCTCAGTGATGTTCCTTTAAGATATCAAAAGTGGGAGGGTTCAAAAATAGCATATAGAAATAGGTGGACTTGAAAATGTAGACTTTTATGGTGCAGTTTGATTTGGTGTATGAGAGTGTGGTTCTCAACCTGGGATCCCCAGATATTCTTGGACTAAAACTCCCAGACGCCTTCACCACTAGCTGTGCTGGCCAGGATTTCTGGGAGTTGTAGGCCAAGAACATCTGAGAACCCAAAGTTCGGAAGGATTACGTTAGAGGACCAAATGGGTTTTTGTATTTGCTTGAGGGGAAAAAACCCTTTTGCTTGTTTCCATCGCAGTTAGTTAAATTCGGTATGTCTTAAACCAGGATCCTGTTGAGCTTTGGTGAAGCCCAACGCTGTGCTCGTAGAGGTCTGTGCCGTCTTTGGCCAGCTGTTGTTCCAGTAGGGAGCACCCAGTGGGAACCAGCACAGCTTCTTGTGTGCACAAGAGTTTACAGGGTACCTCCAGATATCTCCATTACCCAAAAATAGATTTTCAGCCTTTCCGAAAATGCATCCTGATCCAAGTAATCCTTAAAAATGGATCAGAGAACACTTTGCTTAAATTGCAAAGAACAGTTGGCCACTGGAAAAGGAGGTGGCCTTGGGAAAATAAATATATCTTCCCTTCCTTAGAACAAATGAATGAAGCCAATGAAAACTATGGAGGTAACACGTGTGGTTGCTACCGATAAATTTATTCCAGTTCATAAAGAATGATTATACCCTTATGCACCATGGGATAAGAGTAGGGAGAGCTTTCTAGCCAGCAGGGGTGGGGTGGGGGTTGTGAAATAACTGGGGCTTTGTCCCAGGGCACCAAAGTCTCGAAGTGACCCTACTGATGAATGTTAGAAAAATAAATGGCACTTATTACTGGCCCTGTTGACTTTCCTTAAAAAGAAGCAGTTTTCGGGGTGCGCCTTTCTCTCCCTTTTCCTTTGAGGGGCTCATGGGCAGGCCCCAATGCTGATTTTTCCCCCAGGTAACAAAATGACTAGTTATGGCTCCAATTTATTCATTTATTATTATAATTTTTATACCGCCCATTTAGTGGTGCATGCCATGCCTTCCGGGTGGCTTTACGAATGTGAAAAATAAACGCAATAACCCAAATACCCACCCATCCCAAAATAATCTAAAAAAACAACCTGTCACTAAAGAACCCACAATGGCTAATCTGTGATTCCAGCCCCACCACTGGCAGGTCGCAGTCTCCAGGTGAAGAAGGAGGCAATTTGCAAAATATAGAATCTCTGCACATGATCAGGAATACTCTCCTCTCCCCACCCCCCAGAACCCCAGTTATATGAAGTGATTCCACACAGAAGAGAAGCTTTCTTATTCCGATAACCTCTTGCCATTTGGAGAGACTAAGAAGCACAAGATGGGGCCAGAACTCTCCCTGATCACACCTTCATATAACCCTGTTTGGAACAGCTGAATAGGGTTGTAGTTAGAGATGGGCATGAACCAGGGAAATGGCGAATCGGGGTGGTTTGTGGCAATCCACGAACCGCCCATGATCCCTGGAAAAAAATTAAATAGTTTGTGATTCGTTGTGTGTGGGTTCCGTGCCTGGGGAGGGGACCCTAACGCCCCGGCCCCCATCGCCTCCCCACCTGATGCTGCGGCCGCCTCCACCCTCATCTTCAGAGACAGCAGCTAAGCGTCACTTCCACACAATGAAACACCAGGTGAAAAAAACAACACAACTTCATTTCAGCAAAAAGGGATCCACAAACCGAACTACAAACCAGCCTCAGATCCTGTCTCTCCTCAGTATGAAAATCCGTCTCTAGTTACAGTTAAAAGCACTGGAGGTTTTTTATTTGGGGGGGGGGAGTGCGGAAATCATTTTAGTCTGCAAATATACTGTGTGGTTTGGTATTGAAATTTGTTGTCTGCGATGCTTCTTTGCAGGGTGTCGATGACGCCTTCTATACATTAGTCCGGGAAATCCGAAAGCACAAAGAGAAGATGAGCAAAGACGGCAAAAAGAAGAAAAAGAAGTCAAAGACAAAGTGCACAATTATGTAAATGAAATCTCTCCTTTGTTCTCGAGGTGTATGTTGGAAAACGTGATTATTATTATTTTTTTGTACCATTACACTAAATTATTAGCACACACGTTTTTTTTGCGTTTCGGTTAAAACCTTCCTCTCCGCTTTCTGCTGGCCTTCTTTTCTGGACGCTTGCTTTGAAATGACAGTGGAAGCTCTTCTTCTAAAGTGCCAAAAAAAAAAATCTTGGGAGGGTTGAGCCGAGCGACGCCCTGTGAAAAACAAAATACTGTAGAATCTCCAGCCCACCCCCTTTTAGGCATAGGCTGGTGCATGGAAAACTTGCAATGTCCTCTATCTTCTGTTTTGTCTCCCGGTTGCGAGCTCAAGGACCAGCCTTGCTACTGGTTGGACCCAGACTACCAGTTTTCAGGACTGGAGGAGACTTTACGGATCAGGCCAAAGGGGAGATAGCCTCCGATGCAAAGGGGGACAGACAGTGATAGTAGCTGGAATGCAAGTTTGGATGGGCTGCTTTGGACTACGGCTTCCAGATTAATTGAGCTGAAGATACTGCAAACATCAGCAGTACTTCAGAACCCAAAGGCTGAGCTTAGGGAAGATGATGGTTGCACGAAAGATGTGGGACGGAAGCTCTTTGGGTGAATGGAGGAATTTCCAGGGCCAGTTGAGATGAGCGTAGGGCCAGACTAGAATAGGAAGGGAGACGGTCTTGATAGTGACCTTAAAGCTTAAGCAGTCCCTAGAACAAGGGAAAAGTTTCTTTCTGGGACTACATGCGGTTGAAGCTATAGTCCAGGCTCTGATAAAGGCACCATCCTAATATTGCCAGCTTAATTCCCACTGCCTTTTGTGATGTGGTTCAGTTAGAAGGATTAATCAAGAGTGGAAACACCAGGTGGCATTTTAAAAAGAAATGTAAGTTCAGCTCATTGCCGTGTTGATCCACTCGAAGACTTTTTCTTTTCTTGCTCGCTCGTAAGTCACATTTTCTTGTTGCATTTCCAATCAACCTGAACGAATGTTTTGAAAAGAAGGGTGGGGGGTGGAAAGGAAGCCCCAAGGACTTTTCACAAAGATGATTCACTCTTAAAGTGACTATTTTTTTCTATTAAAATTAAAAATGTTAAAAGAAAGAAATGAAGAAAAATTTCTAATTGGATTGGTTTTTCGTAACGAGCTCCTTCTTATTCTCATCTTGTGCCGACAAGCCGTTTCCAACGGACGGGCAACCCTCATAGGGTTTTCCAGGCATGCAGAATATAGTTGACCAGTCCCCTCTTTCTGATGGTGCTCTGGGATGTGTGCCAGTGTGCCCAGGGTCGTACAGGTGGCAGAGTACACAACCACCACCCATCCACCACTTGTGCTTCAAGTCATCTTGGCCAACATCCCTTTCAGGAGGCATAAAGGGGGATTTGAACTGCTAGCCCCCCGACTCTGCAGCGAAGGCACTCGTAACACTGTGCCTCCTAGAGTGGGGCTACGCTGGCATAATGGCTTGGTTTGGAAAAAAGCCACTGGGCACACATGGTCTCGGAGGGAACGTCGTCTGCCAACCCAACTGGAACCAATTGGAGCTACACTGTAGTTTGGTGCTGTTGTGCAAATCTGTGCATTTGAATGGGACAAACACGGAAGGAGTTCCCTGTGGATTTATGCCCCCTGGTTGCTCTTTCCTGTCAGGCAGCTTTCCACGGTCTGTTCCCTCACAGAGGTTCATTCCCATGGGAGTGAAAGCTTTTTACTATGCATGTCCTCGTTTCTAGAGCAACGCTCCCTCCCTCCTTTCCATCCTGCGGTACCATGCAGTATATCTTGACACTCATTTTATTTTGAGGTGGAGGCCTTTTTTTGTAGTTTTAAGAATAGTTTTTGCCTTGCCCTTCTGACGACCGCATTGTACGTTGTTTTCCACTGGAATCACAGTACCTGCATGACTAAATGCCTGCAGTTCATCTTCACTGACTTTCACCAGCTTTTACTGGGTGTGTGTGTGTAGGGGGGGGATTTCATCTCCCATTAGCCACCAGGGCATACTGGTTGAGGGATCCTGGGAACTGTCATCCAAACAGGAGTTTTCCAAAGCTCTGGGCACACTCTTCATGTACTTCTGTCTCTGCTTTTCCTCACTCTGTTCACCATCTTTATCGAGCACTATTTTACCTCAGAAAGGTGGGTATGGGGCCGAACGCTAGTTAATGCTGTGGAATCTCAATGTACCACTAAGAGGGAAAAAAACATCTTTAAGGTTAGTCATGTTTTCTTGTAAGAAACCACAATATGCAGAAGTCTTTTGTTCTTCTCAGCTTCCTGTTTATTTTTATTGAAATTAAGTTTTCATTTCTATAATAATTTGGAAGGATGCTGTTGTCTTATTTCTCAATCAGATTTTTAAAAAATCTCTTAAAGTCAGATTTTTAATCTGATTGAAACAGGTCAGTTTGTCATTGGGAAGCATTTATTTTAAGTCAGGACCCCCTTAAGGAACAGATTTTGGCGATAACTAATCTGGAGATCCTCTAAAAACCAAAATCTTTGAAAACGTGGTCAGTGTCGGTCTCTCTTCCAAGATGAATTGCTCAAAGCATGTATGGGAGGGCATGCCTGAGAAATGCATGCAATAATGGGGCCTGAGGCGATCTCTTAATTTTCCAAACCCTTTTCTCACTGGGAACATGGTCAAAGGAAAGCAAGGATTGAAAAACGAAGATGGTCCAACTCCTGCTTTCTTACTTTATGCTGGTGTTAAGTACAGTGGTGTGAACTGCAGACTTGCTGCTAGTTAACCAGTCATTGCTTGTATCTCTTGTCTTGCACCAAATCATGTGGCTCGCACATGTCGAATATAAGCAGCAATGGTTCATTAACTAGTGGCTATCCGCTGCTATGATTTATGGCATTGCATTTAGCTGGTGTAATTAATTAACAGGATCCTGGCTGATGTTTCAGCAGGATTTGCATGGAAATCAGGCTGTAACCAACCGGTGATGGCAGGTAGCAGCCTAAATCTTGATCTTGTCTGGGGATGATGGGAGTTGCAATTCAGCGACATATGGAGGGCCCCCCCCGGGTTGGCCCGTTTCGCGGTTGGCACTACAAAACTATAACCAAAGCTTGGGGGGGGGAATTACTTGGTGGGCTAAAATTCGCAGACTCCTCTAGCCATTTGGACAGGGGATCCTGGGACTTGCAGTCCAAACGGTTACTTCCCCAAGTTCTTAGTTTGTTTGAAGCAAATAAAACTTTTAAGAGATTTGATCTGTTCACAGTGCTGTGCCAAAAAAAACACCACAACAACCAATAATTCCACCATGCCTGCAGGAAGATGTTTTTTTCCTCCCTTGGTGCAAAAGAGAGAATTAATTTATTCGGGTGCTACCAGAAAGAAAGAAAAAAGACCTTAGACCGTGAATGCCTCACTGTTTTTCCGCCGCATATCAAAATACTCTGTGTGACAAAGGCTATGGTGCTTTCACCCATGGAGATATTTAAGTCCTGGCAGGGGCGGCTTGTGAAATGAGCGTGGGAGAGGGTCAGTCTCCAAATTGGCACGGCACCCCCCCCATTCACTCACCAGCCCCCTGTAGCTGTCGGACTTTGATCTAATGCTGTGGTGAACTGGGCCGTAAATGTGAAAACTCTTTCCTTCGAAGCACAAACCCTTCCGTTTTCCATGTAGCTGCTACTAATGCCTTAAGCAACTTCACTTCTTTCACATCCTTTTTTTTCAAAGGGTAAAGAGTTCATTTACACCAAAATGCTTAATTTTTATATAACGAGCATGGCAAAAACATCCATCCATGCTGCTGGAGTCGAATGAGGCACACCACAGTATAAAACAGGTTCTGAATATATATATTTTTTACCTCAGGACAGCTGGAGGTCTCCAATCAAGAATTGTCGAGGTGTGGAAGAATGGTTGGGTTGGGTTTTATGCAAGGATAGCATAGAAACATGACAGTAGCTCACCTCAGATTGGGCTCTCGTGCCTCTCCATATTAATTTTTGAGGTAAAAAAAGAAAGTTGGACAGTGTATGTGGGAGCAAGACCGGTCCTAAGTAATGAACTGTTCACATGTCTCTGATCCAAGCTGGTACTGTGGCCACAGCAGTAGACATTACCATCCCAAGTGGATGGGTTTTTTTAAAAAAATTAAATAATGATTTATTTGTTGGGAAGAAGTGCATACTGTATATGTAATGTGCAGTGGGAGACATTCCCCGGCCAGGATTCTAACATGGCTTCCCCTTGACTTCCCCTTGTGGCAGATTGCAACCAAAGGAACAGCAGTTATGGTTTCAGTGCTTTATGGACGGTACCCGTTTTCCTCAAGAATCTTCGTAATTTAATTCCACTGTTGTGTTTTAATGTTAAATTCGTCTTTCCTCTCCCTCCCTCTCTCTCTCCCTCGAGTGCCAAACCTATTACTAGAACCGTTTCTTAAAATGCAACATGTTTACTTAGAATGTATTTGAACTATTTTTGTATATAGAAACTAAAACGTACATGTTTTGTACATTGTCGCTTCTGGATTTTGTTTTTGTTTTTCAAAGGTGCAGAACTGATGCGGTGTGAATCAGGTCATTGGATGGGGGGGGCTTGTTTTATTTCAGTTATGGGGCCACAAAGACGCATTTCAAAAAACGACCACTGTTTGAATCTTTAAAAACCTTTTGTTCGCAGCATGTGCTGTAACGTGGAAGAAAAAAACTGTTTTGTCCCCAAAACTGCTCTTGTTGTAATTAATTAAAAAAAAGTTGTTCTGTGCTTCCGTGGCTTGTTTTCCTCAAAAGCAAAATTGCTTTCCTTCACTTTAAGCTCACGGCGGCTTATAATATTTTAAACTTGGGTTCTTTCAGCTTGGATGCCGAGATTGAATCTCTGTGTGTTTGTGTAGACAGATACTGACTTCAACGTCGGTTGAAATGTGCAGTTTTGTTTGCTATAATACACAACCAACAATTGCATCTCTTTTTTGCCTTGAAGTCGTCCTAAAACTGCTTCTTTACATGCATGTAAACCCAGTCTGACTAATTTTTGGCAGAAATTAGGTTCATTCCCACAAAAAGAATAAACAATTTTCATTGAATAGAGGACTAAAATCCTAATGCCGATTTGGAACACAACCGGCATCTTGCTAGTCAGCAGCACATTCCCACAAAAACTTGAACGCTTTTTCTTACACAAGCATAAATCAGCAATAAGACTCTGACTAAGGTTTAAAGGCCTTTCACTGATCATCTTAAGATTAAATTGAACAAGTCTTCTAAGGGTATTACAGGGTAGCTTTAACCACCAGTGATGGATATAAGTAGAGATGGGCAAGCAACGAACCAGAGATTAAGAAACAACAACAACCCACAAGCCAGGCCAATTTGTTGCGTGGACATTTAGGGAACTATGTTTTCATGAAGTGAAACTAAACACCAAACTTTTCATCTTTGACATTTCGCTTCGCATCGTTCTTTGAGGGTTCCCTATCTAGAGTCCAACGTGTGCAGCAAAACTACACTGTGCACAATATCCCAAGCTTGCCGGGAAGCAGAGCCCAGACAGCTTAATGTCCGACTCAGCTGGGCAGCATGGCAGTGGTGGAAGGGAGGAGATGTGGGATGGGAAACCCATGAAGCTGAGCTACACAGAAAGCTCCCCTGCATTTAGAGATGGGCCTGAACTGAACGAACCACAAACTTTTTGGACAGCATGTTCATTGACGTGGCTGATCTACTTTCCAATCCTGCCACTTTATGAATGGTCAAGTCTCTGCTTATCGCCTTTTACTGCAGTGATAAGAGCTCTCCGCTCTTGGGTTCCAGAGGAGAGAAAAGCATGACATGGTTACTTCGGACTCTGTTGATCAAACATAAGACTCCCCCCCTTAATATGGATCAAACAGTGCTTAGTAAATCTGCAAATACACTGGATAATGTTAGCATTATCAAATCCTGTTTGATTTCAGCTCTTCCCCCATTCTAATAATATAAAGAAAGGGCTAGCTAGAGGGATTAGAATAGGAGCTCAGGTATAAGAAAGATGCAGCCTTGTTTTGGAGACAGGAGTGCAACACAAAAACTGTTCCCTTTCAGAAATATGTCGCTTGCGTGCAAGGAGTCATTAACAAGCTCAAATCTTGCCATCTACCTTCAAGGAAAGGGATATGTGGATTCTGCTGTGTAGCATGGATAAGGTAGTGAGCTAGCCTCGAAGATGATTCCCAGGCGTCCTCAGAAGACCCCACTGTAATATAAAGAAAGGGCTAGCTAGAGGGATTATGCTGCAGTGTTTATTTAGAATAGGAGTTCAGGTATAAGAAAGATGCAGCCTTGTTTTGGAGACAGGAGTGCTGATCAGCTGTCTAAATTCCCTTGCGTTCTCGGTTCCCTCTTCAACACAAAAACTGTTCCCTTTCGGAAATATGTTGCTTGAGTGTAAGGAGTCATTAACAAACTCAAATCTTGCCATCTTCCTTCAAGGAAAGGGTTATGTGGATTCTGCTGTGTAGCATGGATAAGGTAGTGAGCTAGCCTTGAAGATGATTCCCGGGCGTCCTCCTCAGGGTTACTGGGCCACACCACCCACCTTGATATTTACAAAGCTATGCATGTGGGTGGAGAGCCACTGTTGTTTAATACTGGAATTCACATTCACCCAGTGCAGTTGAATGCAAATTCTGGGCTATTGAGTGGTGTTCCATCTGTCATTCTGTTGACGAGTACAGTAGTCTCAACAGTGGCTGTTCACAAATTCTGAGGGCAACACATTTCTCACTCCTGCCAAATGAATATATGGAATGTGTTATCAGAAGGTAATGTGATAGCTTAGCACCTAATTTAGATGCTAGCTCCAAAAACTTGGGGTAGATCATTAGTGTCTACAACTTCTGTAATCGAACCTCTATTAGGGTGGGGTGGGGACAGACCTAGCAGCTTTGGACTACAACTCCCATGCTTACTTGCCAGCTGTCAGTTTCTCTACCCATGCTTTAAAGCCAGAGCTGCCTGTAGCTCAACAGGAAGACAGGGCTATTGACTGGAGACCTTGCGTATTGACATCTGGTTAGCCGCTCTGGGAAACAGTTTCACAACGAAAATGGATATTTCGATGCAGTTGTATTAGTGTGGCCTTCCAGAGTGTACAATTCCCAAAATGCCCTAGTGTTTGGGGGATGATGGGAATTGTAGTCACCATCTGACCACCCCATCCTGTACTACAGGACCTTCTCCAAATAGCTATGGACTAATTGCTCCTGCAACGACGTGATTCTTCAACGATGAAATGAAGATGCTTTTGTTAAACAGGTAATGGTCACTGGATTTTTTTTTAATTGTTCGCCACTCGATCATGGAAACTTCAGCTACACACACACACACTGGCAAATAACTGAGAAGTGTATTGTGACGGATCATCTACGATCGTCCTCGTAATACCTTTGTTTCAGAGCTCTGTATTTTCGGAGGAAGTATAATGCCTCCAACTCTTTGATGACAAACTCCCCGCGTGCAATGAGCTGTTTGATTTCCTCAGGATCCGTCACACTCTTGTTTTTTAAGAAGGCTGCCTTCAGTCGGGTTCGAAAGTAGTCTCTCCCTTTGGGGTATTCCTGCCCGAGGTACAGCATCTTCAAAACACAAAAAATACGTTGAACATGGCAAAGGTCTAAATCCCAAATGCTAGTCTAAACTACTTACAGTCATCCTAGTGAATCAACGGGATTTAACTCCCTGCAGGAGATTCATTGGGTTACTTGATTTGTGACTAGCAGTTGGATTAAGGCCAAAGAATACTGTATTTTTCCGTCTATAAGATGCCCCCCACATTTCTAACCCAAAATTAAGAAATCTAAGTGGGGCTTAGCAAGTGTAGGGGAAAAGGGATCAAAGCACACAGGAATCCTGTGACTGCATGATCGTTTTGATCCCTTTCCCCCTTATATAGCCATGGAATTGCTTTGATCATTTCCCCCTACACTTGCTAAGCCCTATGGGACTCAGTAAGCAGAGGGGAAAGCAAGGATGAAAGCCATCCTGCAGCGCTTTGATCCCTGCTTTCCTTTTGCTAAGGCTTAGCAAGTGGAGGGGAAAGCAGGGATCAAAGCCCTGCAGGATCACTTTGATCCCCGCTTTCCTCTCCACTTTTTTATCACCTCCGCTTACTTGTATAAGACGACCCTCAATTTTTAGTCTAAAGATTTTAGACAAATGTATAGTCTTACACATGGAAAAATACAGTATCTCTTTGTAACTGGGTATTCCTTTTGTTGCTGATTTATGGCAACCCTAACAGGGTTTTTAATGTATGTGAGTTGTTCTGGGAGTGATTTACACTGCCATCCTCCGGGGAATTTCCATGGTCAACCAGGGATTTGAACACAGATTCCCTGACTCCTAGCCCAATGCCCGATCCACTACACACTGACTTTCTTCTTTGAACTTACATTTTTGTATAGTTTCAGCACTTCGTATCGCAAAGAGTTGGCCATGTTTGCAGTCACTGTATGTATCCGTCTTGATCGTACGTACTAGTGTTTACCTGAGGAACAATCGTTTTAACATTAGCTGCACAATAAAGTCAGACTTAAAATAAGTTACGTACCTATTCTTCAATTTCTAATGGGAAAAGGCTCCAGTGGTTGCTTAAATTACAGCTTGCTGCCTTTAATTTTGTAATTCTTCCTTCATTTCATTGGTCCCAGTGACTGTTTCCCAGTTGTAAGCTTAAGATTTTTTCGGTTGAAGAAGCACTTTCCATGGTTCACAATTAAAAACCTTTTGCATTAATATGTGTTTCCATCGAAAAATACAGATTTTGAATGCATTTTTTGCATCACTTGCAGCTGAATAAATAAAAGCAATAGCAGTTAAAACTGAACAATTCCAGAGGTATAATTAGCCTTTTAAAAATCATCCTTAGAAAGCAAGTCTCCTGTCACGATATGCTTGACAGATTTGTAAGCAGAGAGGTAAATTAAAATCAAAAGTACGCATAATCCAAAACCAGGCTTTGGTTTAGCAATTCAACTGATGACGCACAAATCAAAGTTACGATCTTGAGTGTATGACTCCGTTTTAAGTTATTAAGTCAATACTTTGCATAACATCAGCCAATCACATTTGACTACATCATATTTTCTGGATGCTCAGCAAAACTGGGCATACATATTTCGAAATAACAATAACACATACTTGCATGGAACAATTCATGAGTTGCTCTCATACAAAAAACTGAGAAGTCAGTGGGTGGATGTTGCCTGTTTCTAAGTCTTTAACCCATGGAGCATATCAGCAGAAACCAAGAGCTGAAGATTTTCAGTGGCCTGGCACCAGCTACTGATGGAGATGACTTGAGACGGAAAGACCTGGCTTGTATTCCAACCTCTTCTCTACCCTTCTGATAAGTACAGGAACCTTTTTTTACACTAGGTCTCCTTAGGTGGGAGTGGGCAGGTTCCATACACTTGAGCATTTTAATAAAATAATGTTAACGTTCCTAGTCACATGCTAATCACTTTGAGAGTCAGTGTTGTATGACAGATAGAATATTGGACTAAGACTCCGGAGTCATGGAGTTCAAATCCTTTCTCAGCCTTGGAAACTCACTAAGGGGAGATGATGACAATGTAAACGACTCACTGAATATTTCAATATGCCTCAAAATTCCATCAGGGTCACTAAAAGTCAGAATTGGCTGCACAGAACAGCGAAAGCTCTAGATCCACTAGCATCCACTTGGTGCAAAGCCATGCACTTCAGATTACAGAACTGGTAAGAGTTTCATTTGCAACCTCGCATGCTGTTTGTGATTTGAGCGCCTGGGGTGTGTATTTGCTTTTCTGGGCTGGGTTGGCTCTCAGTCTTCCCAGCATTAACCCATCATTTCTTCCTACCTCTCAACTAACTGTCCCTCTCGTCAGTCTGTTGAAAGAGTTGTTTAGTTCGCTGTTGATCTGTTCACGACTGTAAGTCATGAAACATTTTAATTCTTTTTCCTACAAATGGGCTCAGGGTGACTTACTGAAGTTACCGGCTCATAAAAAGGGGTGGTCCATCTGGGAAATGTGTGGCTATTCTCCTTTTGAGTCTCTGTACTTCTGCTATGTTGTGCAAGGAATTTTCCCAGACATTCAAAGCTCTGCAACAAGAACAATCTGAAATGTTTATTTTGAGAACCAAGACGTAACAAAGTTTGCAGCACTGACAGCAGTATACAGTATAATCTAGGTCTGTCTGGATGCCTCTGTGTGTGCAAGATTACTTGCTGTTATCAAGGAGGAAGAAATCTTTTAGGGAGAAAGGCGGGGTAAAAATATTTTAAATTACTCCATAATGAGATCAAGCATTTGTTGCCAGTGTACAGCAGCGACCCACAGATCAAGCCGGGAGATCCGTTTAAACCCCATTTTGAGTCGCTTCTCTGGGCACAGACATTGTTTGCCATTCACTTAATGGTCCTTTATCCTGAGATTCCGCCCAAAGGTTCCTATGAGAAATGAAAGCCGCAGTCTTGCAAATCAAGAGACACGGCACAAAAGGAAAACTGGCGTGGCCGGAAAAGGAGAAAACAAGCAGACAAACCCTTGAAGAAAGTGCGGGCGGTTGTGAAGTTCAGTGTGTTAGAAAACTCACCTACCTTCCCTTCCTACCTCCTCCTGACTCCCAAATCCTCCATCGAAGATGATGACAGTGTGCGTGTATGTGTGTAAATCCTTCCCCCCCTTTTTGTTCCCTTCCTACCTCCTCCTGACTCCCAAAACATCCATGGAAGATGATAACAGCTTGTGTGTGTGTGTGTGTGTGTGTGTGAGAGAGAGAGAGAGAGAGAGAAAATCCTTTCCCCCCCCCTTTTTGGACTACAAATCCCATCACAGGCTGGGGGATTCTGGATGTTGTAGTTCAATTTTTTTAAAAAAAGGAACTTCTCCCAAACCCTGGAAGAGATGACAAGGTGGAGGAGCGCCCTCTCCCTCGGCCAGCCATACCCAAGTCCCCACAGCCAGAGTAACATTAGGGCTTAAGCACGAAGTACCTTTGCCGTCCATGATTTTGGCAACGACTTCCGACCTTCCCAGCTGATCAGAGACAAGAGGGGCTGTGGGTGATGACTGCGCCTGCGCCGAATTCGAAGGCAGAAGGTTCCAATGCCACTAGTACGGCTGCGCACGAGTTTAAGGCAGCTAGAGATATACAAAAGTTAAGAGTACTACCTTTCTACAGGTTGGAGACATGGCGAGAACTCTTTTTAGACTGCAGCTCCCAGAATTCCCTGCAGCTGCCCCGAGGAATCCTGGGAGTTGCAGTCCAGCCACCACCGCCACCACCCAGATCTCGGGACCTCTCCTTTGCTCTCTGTGGCTCCTGGCCGGCGTAACTGAACGTTCGCTTCCCGAAGGGGAGTCCATGCCCTTGATTTCCATGGGGGTCGCGCCCTCTAGGATGCATGCGAGCGCGCCTGGTGTTAAGGCGCCGTCCTGCATGCCGCTCTCTCTATCCCGGCTTCGGGTTGCAGCGGGTCCCGATCCGCCTCAAGCTCAGCTCCAAGCTTTCTTTTTCGACCGTGCAAGAGGAGGGTTGAACTACACTGCAGGAAGGCCCCCCCCCCAGATCTCAGGGCCTCTCCTTGCTCCTTGGACCGATTCATATTCTTCCGTTTTCGAGGTAAAACTCGACAGGAGAATCTTAAAAAAAAAACCAAAAAAAACCACAACATTCACGAATTCACATGTTTCTTCCCTTCCCCCAACAAGAGACGTGTGTGTGCAAGAGTGAGGCCTTCTTCTTCCTCTGACCCAGTGCTGCAAATTCAATGCCATAGGAAAATCTCGGCTTTCACCACTTTCTCTCCTGCAAGTAGTTTTCAGTTTCTACGTCTCTAAAGGGAAAAAGCCAAGTCGTCGAAAACAACTCGGAAATGTATGTTGGAGACAAAAGAACTGTGCCCCAACTTGTAATAGGCTCGCTCAAGGGAGGGGGCTGCTGCGCATGCGTGGCACAATGAGCTAGAATGATATAGAGGCGAAGTCTACTTCCGGATTACATTTGACCACCCCCTGCGGAGCAACAGACACGTGATTTACACACAAACTTCAGTTTCACTTGTCCCGCCTTGTTAGGCCTGTCCGGAATTTTTTTTTTTTTTGGGGAGGGGGAGAAGGTCATCGATTGCCCTTTTAGCCTTTTAAAGATATGTATATCTTTTCACGGTGACTTTCAAAGGCCTCTCAGGAGTTTATTTCGGAACCGGAAGTGTGTATGTGCAATTTTGTTTCTTTCCTCTTTATGGAGGAGTTTAAACCCACCCCGAGGGGCGGAGGAAGAAGCGAGTGGGCGGGGCTCGTTGCCGGGGAAACCGAGGGGCGGGAGCTGTAAACATATGGAGGAGTTTAAACCCACCCCCGAGGGGGCGGAGGGAGAAGCGAGTGGGCGGGGCTCGTTGCCGGGGAAACCGAGGGGCGGGAGCTGTAAACAACTTTTGGTCCATCTCTTATCTGGAGGCCGCGAGATGGTGAGACGCCCCTCTTTGGGTTGCTCCTCTGATCTATCCTGTCTCCCCTTCCCCCCCACGTCTCCCCTCCCCCCTATAAATTTGCATAAATTTGCATTTGCAATTCTTGCTAGGTTGCGTCATTTTATTGCCTGTTTCCACATTTATTTATTTATTTATTTATTTATTTATTTATTTATTTATTTATTTATTTATTTATTTATTTATTTATTTTGCAAACTATGTTCCCAAGACAGTTTGCATGCTTGCATTTTATTGCCTGCAAAACTGTGGGTTTTAAATTCGGTGTCCTTTACGTTTCAGTGAAATAAGTTTTTCTTTTAAGGTTTTAAATTCTATGAAGATAAATATACTTATTTGAAGTTTTTTAAGTCAATTAAATTTTGCTGCAAAATGTTCAGTGGAGCTGGGCAGATGAAGTGACGTATCCACTCTTTCTCTCCAAGTTTATAAATTCAAACTGTATCTTATGGACTAGCCACAGGGGTGGACAATTAATTTCTATGGTGGGGGCACATGAAAAATCTGAACTCAGTTCAGGGGCCCAACCAACTTTAATCAAAAATAAAATGAAACAGGGATGTTATTGATTGTTTTTATTTTAAACTTGTTAATCTTCACAAATACTAAAGAGGTTTTTTTTGCGGTATGTTAAAGATAAGCAACTGATGAACTTTAGACAAAAAGCTATAAATGGTTTTTAATGTCCGGCGGACCGGACAGGAGCGGCTCACAGGCCGTATGTGGCCCTCGGGCCACACTTTGCCCAGGTCTGGACTAGCATCATAGTTTCATCCTGCCTTTCCTCCAAGAAGGCTCAGAATATAAGGTCTCGTACTCTCATCCATATTATCCTCACAACAAGCCTGCGAGGTAGGATAGACCTTGACCACATGTGTTTACTGGCCCCAAATTGCCCATTGCGAGTTTGAACCCGAGACTCTCCAGTTTCTCTCACTAAATCTGCTACATTTGCCTATATACACCAGCTTGGTATCCTCCAGAGGTACTGGGCTGGGATAAAGGTGCAAAAATTACAGAAACAGTTCCCCAGAGAACCCTCTGATCAAACGATGCCGCTTTCCACATACAGTATGTGGGACTCCGTGTCCAGCATTTGCACACACTCATGTGATGGAATAGCAAATGTCCAAGAGTGGAATAAATCAGTGTTTTGGACGTGTCAAGCAATCAAACCGTTATGAAGGATTTCTCAGTTCTGAAGTTTCTTAGGACTAGTTGAAATTGTAAATAATGTTTTAAAATGTACAGTATTGTTTCTTCAAAGCTTGAAAAGTCACAGAGGCTGGCATTTTTGAGATTTGCATTCCATCTTGAAAATTTAATTACAGTATAACTATTGTACTATTTTTTGACTCTTTCTCTTCTTTCTCCTTTCAACATTTAGGGTCCAAAAAAGAAAAAGGTAGGTAGGTAGATAGATAGATACAGAAACAGAAAGACAGATAACTAGATCAACTAAGTGGCCAGTGAATCTTCTGTATCCTCACCATAAAATGTATATTATAGTACAAATATTAAATATTGATGTTAATAGTGCTGTTTCAGTGTATACCTGATATTTCTGTAAGTGAAGTTTTCAAACAGAGATATATTATTCTCTAATATCTGCATCAATTGGACATTTCTATAAGGAAATGTCCCATTGATTTCCCCCCAATTGATGTAGATAATAGAGAATAATATATCTCAGTTTGAGAATCGTGTGGCCAAATGTTATGGTCATGGGTGAAATTTATATCAGCAGACTCAACGAGCAAATTTCACCTCCAAAAAGTTCAGTCCCTTTCTCTTGCAGTAGTGAGATTTCCTGTCTTTCTGAGATTTCCGGCTTTTCTTGCCTTGTTCTGCACAAGAAACGACCAAATCATGTACAACATGATGCCCTTTCTGGAGAATCCTGTGCTGATTAAAAATACCATACTGCACAAGAATTGTAATGCTCCTGTGCAGCTTGACATTTCTTGTACCTTTTCTGGATGAATCCTGCATAGGAAAGAGGCCATCCTTCACAGGAATTGTAACAATCCTGTGCAGCTTTGCACTCGTTCCAGAAAAAAATGACCATGAAGCTTCTGAAAATTGCTGCCAGATTTCCTACGAGGTTTTTGTGTGTGTGTGTGGCGGGGATTTCCCACAGAGAAACACAAGTACAGCAGCATTTGTGGAAGACCCTTAGCGAAAAAGGCAGACAGTCTTCTTGAATCAGGATTAGTGGGGGAGGACATATTTGAAACGTTACTGGCAAGAACAAAATACATGAAGGTTCACTTGTCCGGATCCAAATCGGACCACAGAGCATATGTCGGCTATTGCTTGGACGGAGAAAAATTTAGACCTGTGAGCTGAGCTCCCGCCGGAAGCGAAACAGCCCAAAAACAGAGTATTCCTTGTCATAAGAACAACAACTCAGTGATTTTGGCTGCAGAGCCAGAAGTTGGGAGTTCAGTTCCCCAGTGTGCCTCCTTGACTCAATGATCCATAGGGTCCCTTCCAGCTCTACAGTTCTGAAATGATGTTGATGATTACAGTGTTGGAGCAGGGATGGGACAATACAGCCGCTTTGGCCATTCCCTCCTACCATACTATCATGGCTGAAAGCCTTAGCTTGGAGGAGAAACCCACAGGAATTTAGAACAGTGGAATACACCATGCCAGAAAAAATGCCTCTATGGCACAAGGGGAGAGAAAGTGAGACACTTCATTTTAAGAGCAGAGTATAATTCCTCACAGAGGACTCTAAAACTGCTAGTATATTATCTCCTGTTTTTAGAGGGGAAACCATGGGAAAACATAGAACCATCCAGTTTCGGGGCTTATTTGATGGTTTCAAATCAATGAAGGAAGTAGAATCAAAGTGATAAGTAATGTTACTGTGTTTAAAATGTTTGGGTATTCCCTTACATGTATTGTGTACTGAAAGATATAGCACATGGTTTTATTCCAATGTTGGTTTGGAATAAATGAGAAAAAATTAGTTGAATCTCTGTCGTGTTGTGGATTTTTTTAAAAAAATAACGCTTAATGGTTGAAATCCTGTTGCATAGCTGCAAAGGCATAACTCAGCCTTACAATATACCTATGGTAGCTGCAAACCTGGAAAGACAGAAGTGCTGTCCACAAAGCGTATCCTCCAGCGCAGTGCACCATTGTGCAAAATAGGAACCACACAACCAGTTCGACAACTTGTGCAGTCTTTGAGTGCTAGTCCATGTCTCTCATTTCTTTCTTTTTAATTCATTCCTTGTTTTCAGTCGGCTGGGGGCAAAAAGAAAATCAGCAAGGCTGAAAGACTGCGGCTCCTAAAAGAGGAGGAGGAAAGAAGACTGTTTGAAGAAGGTAAAGTGCAGTTTTGCACCATCTTCAGTAGGCAAAATGTACGCAATAGGATTATTGTAAAGTGATTTATGACTCAGATGTTTTATGACCGGCTCTCCTGCAACATTTTCACTCCGCTCCCTATTTTCACTTCTTATTTGTGCTGATGTGACATTTTTATAGTCTATATGGGACACAACCCATTTAAAGAAAAAGGATGCATGTTTATTGGAGGGACTATATCTGGATAAAATTGGAAAAGAGAAACGTAGGGCGGTGGCTACATTTGTGGGAGAGAGGGAGAGAGCAGAATTGACAGAATACTTATAACTGAGAGGGCCTTCTCTGTGGCAGCTCCCAGCTTATGGAATGCTGTCCAATGGGAGGTAGTTTAGGTTGCCCCGCCCCTTTTAATCCTTCCATTAACCATTGAAGACCCACTTCTTTAAGCAGGCTTTTAACAATCACAACTGAGTCACTGAAAACCATTCTTAGCTGAGTTTTCAAAGTCTGAAATGGCTTTCACCGTTCAGTTTTTAAAGTTTCTAACTGTTCAAGCAGTACGGCAATGGAACCAATTACCTTGAGAGGTGGTGAATGCTCCCAACACTGGACGCATTCAAGAGAAACTTAGATAATCACCTGGCAGATCTCCTTTGATTTGTATTCCTGACTGTAGTCTAGACTGGGTCTGGACCAATAGACTGGGGGGGAGAGAGAGAGCATGATCAATATTGGCATTTGTGCATCTGGAACAGTAGTTCCCAAACACAGTTCCCCAGATGTGTTTGTTGGTCAGTTCCCACAATCCCTGATTATTGGCCATGGCTTCAGAGATTTGAAATCCAGCAGTAACTATGGTAAACCAGCTTTGGGAACCAGTGCTCTTCTGAGATAATAGCAATCTTGCATGCACTAACACTGGGTATCAGTGGGAGGGTGCTTTACAGCCTAATGGAATTGCCCTTTGTTCTTTAACTTGATTGGTCAAGTTGTTTTTCCACCTCTGGTATTTAAGACAAGCCCCTGCCCTACTCTTCCGTTTATTTCTTGGCTTCCATTGTTTGGCTGATAGCCCTTCTTCTTCCTCTGACCATCTTTCAAGCAGCAAGTGTGCATGGTCTCCTGCATGCTGGAGACTCTATTTCCCCCTTTTTCCTTCTGACTGTAACTACAGAGTTATTGTAAGTAAAGATAAACCTTTCCCCCTAATTTAAATGGTTCTAGAGTGATTTTTACCGTATGAAGTGGTAGTTTGTGTGCAAACCAGGGAAGGTGTCGTTTCATGAGACTAGGCTGAGCTCTTCACATTTCTGTGTGTTTTTTCTGCCTTATACTCTGCTAATTAAAAGGATTACAGTAACCAAATTCTTAAAAACTCCCTTTTTGGCCAAATTTCTCCAATATATTCTTAATACACAAATACCCATACGAGTCATGTTTCTTTCCCAAATACCTTGATTTTGGTTTGCTAGCTACAAAATCATGATAGCAAATAATTGGTAGAAATCCTATTATTTATTTTCATTCCATTGTTTGCATTCTCTAATTTTTTTTCAGAGCAAGCCCGACTACGTGCTGAACTAGAAGAAGCTGCAAGGCTTGAAAGGGAACAGCTTGAAAGAGAGAAGAGAGAACGTTTGGAGGCCAAAGTTAGTTAACATACCATTTGCTGAACATTTTTTGAGAGCTACGTACATGGGCCATGTTTCAGTGTCAGTAACCCAGTTAAGATGAAATGGGAAATCATAGCTTCCTGCACACTATTTGAGGCTTCACAATCCTCAGCTTGCGTCTTCTCTTCTCCCTTTTGTAGGATTGTGAAAAGGAGACCAGAACATTTCTATACCCTGTTCAAACAAACCAGTTGCTTCACATATCAGAACTCAAGAAGCTGTAGTGGATTAGAACAAACCAAAGTTTGGAAAGGTTACATTTTTGGACTACAGTTCCCAGACTTCCCCTGTCAGCATGACCCATGCTGATTTGAGGATTATGGGCACTGTAGTCCAAAAAGTAAATTTTCTTAGTTCTAGAACAAGCCAGGATCAAATCATGGTTTCAAATAATAGCTTGTTAAATCAAACTATAGTTAATTGAGTGCAGAGGCGATGGCGGCTTGTTTGAAAGTAGAAATAGAAGCTTCACATATTCTCCTTGCAGCCATGAAAGAAAATGGGAGAGGAATAGGTGATCTGTGAACTCAAGGCCTGCCCAGGTTGATTCTTCTAAGCCCAAAATCATGATTTCCTATTACACTCAGAATAATCCCTTGTCAGTTCATTATGGGAACAACAGTTTCTACATTTTCTTAGCTTTTCATGTTCAGTTGACATTTAATGTTGATCGAAATTGCCAGCTGCTACCACCAGACAGTAAGCTGGATAAATCCTCAGTGAAAGTTCTTTTGCATGACTGGAAATCATACTGAGTACACAATCTAGCAAAAAGTAACTGAGAGGAACATCAAGGTTATTGTGTGTTCAACTGCCTCTGGTTCCTCCAACAGAGACATTGTTCACAAAATGAATTGTACAATTAAAATGACACTGCAATCTGAAGCAAATTTACTCCAAAGTAAGACCTAGTGATTTCTATGGCTCTTGCTTTGTTAGAAAAGCAGCGGAAAGCTACGCAGTCTTTTTCTGATAACCAGAAATAGGAGCAATTGTGCCATAGATTGAAAGCGATGTACCACAATTTCAACGCTTGGAAAAGTTATTCCTGTAGTTGGAGCTCTCAGAATCCCCCAGCCAGCAAAGTCAGCATCATTTCCAAGTTAATTTTCCATGGGTTTGATTCCACTGAAAAAAAGAAATGCTGTTGTACCACATTCAGCTTAAAAAAAAAAACTACGTTGTAAGATAAGTTGTCTTCATGACATCATCGGAAGAACAGTTTATTTTGCCAAGGAAATGTCTTTTCCGGTTGGAAAGCAAGCTAAAATATTCTTCTGCTTGTTCTAAATGCCAGATGCTGGTCCTCCCAGGGACACCTGGTAAGAGCAGGGGAGAAGGCATAGCGGAAAACCTTCTCCTGCCATCATAACTACTGAGAACAATAATTTTTTAAAAAAAACAAGAAATCACTGTCGCCTCCATCAATAAGCTCCTAAATATTGCAAAGATGTTCTGGTCCCTGTTTAAATTATTGAAATCCCTCCCTGATGCTTTTGGCCTCATTCAAATAAGGTGGTGAAATTAGAGAACAAGTTCCAGGGAAACTAGATTTTAGCTGAATATCAGGAAAAACTTCTTAACTCTTAGAGCAGTGCGATGATGGAATCAATTACCTCAGAAGGTAATGTTGAAATATGAAGGCAATAGGAACGTTTTTGGTTAATCGGATACTGGATTGACTTATAAATAACACTTCAGTTGTTAAATGTTATCCCTCTGTTTTGTGTCCTGTCATTTTAGACTCTTGATTTTCTTGATATGAAAAGTGCTTTGAGAGTCTTTTCAGTGGTAGAATGAGTATAAATATGACAAATAAATACGCAGTGGCTAGAATCCTATTACTTGCATCTGCCAGTCTGTCAGTATACATCTCAGCAGTGACCCGGCTATAATTAGGAAGTTGGTGTCTTCATTTGTTGTCATGCCCTAGTCACTGGACTTGGTGTACAGCAGCAAATGCTTACACTGACATCTCAACTAGCAGCAACTCACCGCTGACAGTGATCTTAATACCGGGCTCATGGTTCAACAGGATGCAGGCCAAAAAAAATACTGTATAATCATTTGTCATTCATAGTGCAGATTATAACGAAAGGAAATGAACTGCCTGGTTATGTTCCACACAGGATGAAGAACGCAGAGGGATTGAACTTGCTGAACTTCAGGTGTTAGAAGAAAACTTTTTCACAGCAAGCCAATTGAAGATGAAATCAAGAGCCCTTGCAAAGGTAGGTTTTGGAGTTATATGGCCCTCTGTTAATAGACCACCAGTGACTTAACTTTGGGTTAAGAAAAAAAAATATTTTTGAAGGCTGGGTATCTCATGCGGCTTCTGCATCACTGAGGGAAGTGAGCAGAGCTGGGTAGAGCTAGTTCAATGGATGACAATGCTAAAAAGTCACCTTTTTGGACTACAGCTGGGCATGCTGGAGGATTTCTGATAGTTGTAGTCAAGAAAGCCCTGGCATTTCCAAGCGTTGGTCCTTCTGATCTCTACTAGCTAGTGCAGTCATTCCCAACCTGGGATCCCCAGATGTTCTTGGATTAAAACTCTCAGAAGCCTTCACCCCTAGTTGGGCTGGCCAGGATTTCTGGGAGTTGCAGTCCGAGAACATCTGGAGACCCCAGGTTGCGAAGGACTGGGCCAGTAGATTCTAGGAGCTGTACAGCCCCGAAAAATAAACTTATTCACTCTGGAAGTGAGTCCTCATGTGAGGGCAGGGAAACATAAACCCTGTTCCTTCCTATCATTCACCTTCTCTTTCCCTGTTCATACTGCAGTGGGTATATATCTTCTTTCTTCCTAGTGGAAACATTACACTGGCTGTGATGGGAGTCCAGATCCAACAGTGGCCCAAGAAATCAATACCTTCATAAGCTTGTGGCGAGAGGATAAAAATAACGATATCTACAATGTTATTGAAACTGGCAACAGGGTGCTGGAAGTAAGTTTCCGTTGGTATTTTCTGCAGTATTCACGCATTTCCCTCCCTGTGGTTTGTCAAATGGCAGAATACAAAACGGTCAGTGCAGGGGACCTGTGAAAAGCAACGTACTGTGTAGCCAAGGAAGGTTCGTTAGGGAGAGAAGACATGAATGGCAGGTGAGTTCTATCACATGTTTCTTTGATTCTGTGGAAGTGGCGTGAGTATCGCAGCTGCAGGCAATGGAGAGGCCAAATGTGACGGACTAAAAACGCAGAAGAAACAATCAAGTGGAGATCCAGACGTGTGTGAAACTGCAACTTCTGTTGAAGCTGAAAGTTAAGAAAGGTTAAGCAAACCTTACAATTGGGAGTAGGGAAACAGATTGCAACAAAGCAAGAACAAAACACCTCTTCGGCTGCCCTGATTGCTGAAATCAGGTTTATACCCTGGCAGGCTTCTGGGAGCATTGTTGTGCTAGGAAGTTTGGCCCAACAAGAAAGAACCTATCACGAAAGAAATTAGCTTTTCCCCATTTTTAAGCCTTTCCCTGTTTTTGGTAGAAACTGGGAGAGGAGAGTGTCTTCCAAAATGCTCTTGGTGGGCCACAAGTTGGCTACACGTCCCTAAAATCTAACATCCTGAATTTCTTATGTTCATCTTATCAACTAATAGAAAGTAATCTCTTCTAGTTAATTGAGAAGTTGGAATTGTGCATATTGGACACACCTTTCCATGAACTAACTCCAAGTGAAGTCACTCAGTACCAAGACACCATTATCCAGCTACAGTCCCTTCTTCACCAGAAATACAACGAAGCAACGGAGGAACTGCTGAAGGTAAGCAGATCCTGGAATTGTTTCAAGTCTTCAAGTTAGATTAAGAACTGGTTTTAGTTGGATGTCAGCTAATCAGGCCTGGTAGTTATGCGAAAGACTACATGGGCTCATCTAAACAAGGTGTGTTGCTTGGATTGGAACTGTGATTACTTTCCTCCAAATATCCAAAATGACTTACTCCAAGCATCCATGCCTGTTTTAATCTTTCCTTAAATGTAATCCAAGTTGTCACACTGACACTCCTCTCTCTTACTCCTCCAACTCCCCTTCCTATGAACCTGTCTCTACCCCTTGGAAGGGATATGCACAAGTCAACGGGGAAGAGGGTAATCCCTTTGGAATTTGAAGAGAATGAAACAGAGGAAGAGTTGCAGGAAACAAATGCCCCAAGGAATATCTGCAGACAATATACATGAAGCAGAGGGCATGAAGTAGCCGTGTTGGGAGGGCTCCCATTTGTAATGTCCCGTCACTCTCCTGTGAAATAGACTGGCTTTTCAGTTAATGCCGAGACGGTGGGAGGGAATCTTGCCTTTCTCCTTTACTCCATTCTGGAGAGAACCCTCCTATCACTGACATCACTGCTGATGTCAGGGGAATTCTAGTTGTGTATGCCCCCATAGGGATAGGAACAAAAGAAGCCAACAAAGATGTCAAACACACAGAGAGGTGGCAAGAAGGAGGGAGAGAGAGAAGCAAAATAATCCGGAAACAGATGGGAAGAGGGAGGCATTGATTCGATTTTGCAGTAATGTCATGTGGCTACATTAAATAAAACTGAATCAGTGGGCTACAGGACTGCCCCCTGATTTATGCAAAGGGAATGCCTCCCCTGTTAAGTAAACCCCATCATGGTGTCCCATGACAAATTGGTGTCCCACGACATCATGGTGTCCCACGACCATCATGGTGTCCCACGACCCCTGATTTATGCAAAGGGAATGCCTCCCTTGTTAAGTAAACCCCATCCTGGTGTCCCATAACAAATTGATTTACTAAGCAACTCTGCTTCTTGGGAGGAAAGCGATGACAAATCTTGACAGCATCTTAAAAAGCAGAGACATCACCTTGCCAACAAAGGTCCGAATAGTCAAAGGTATGGTTTTTCCAGGAGCGATGTATGGAAGTGAGAGCTGGGCCATAAAGAAGGCTGACCGCTGAAGAATTGATGCTTTTGAATTGTGGTGCTGGAGGAGACTCTTGAGAGTCCCCTGGACTGCAAGGAGAACAAACCTATCCATTCTGAAGGATGTGAACCCTGAGTGCTCAGTGGAAGTCAGATCCTGAAGCTGAGGCTCCAATACTTTGGCCGTCTCATGAGAAGAGAAGACTCCTTGGAAAAGACCTTGATGTTGGGAAAGTGTGAAGGAAAGAGGAGAAGGGGACGACAGAGGATGACATGGTTGGACAGTGTCACCAAAGCTACCAACATGAATTTGACCCAACTCTGGAAGGCAGAATGGCCTGGCGTGCTCTGGTCCATGGGGTCACAAAGAGGCGGACAAAACTTAACAGCTAAACAACAACAACAAAGCAACTCTGGGAATATCCCATAGATACTGTAGGATGAGAGAAATCGTTAGCCATGCGAGTGCAATGAATCTTCATGGAGAAAGGCACTGGCCATTCAAATAGCAACCAGCAATATTCAATCCTGCTGTACATTCGCCCTCGGTTTTCAAAGAAAAGTTGTGGCGAATTTGTGGTACTTTCATTCAGCCCCAGACTTTAACTCTCCGTTTTAATGCTTTTCGTAGCAAGCCAGCAGTTATGCAGAATCTGAAAGTGGAAACATGGAGGTTGTCATTAAAAAGAAGAACATCACCCTGTGTGTTTGGGCGAATCTCAAGAAGAATCCAAGGTACAGTTGGGGGCGATGCAAGATTATTCTTAGGGCACACGAGCTGCTGGAACTTGATTTGGTCTCATGTTCCCATCAGGGAGCATTGGTGAAAATGAATGGACGGGACGCCATCGTTCACAAAATGATGGTAATGTTAGAATTAATTTCAGCATTGTATTCTGTTGCAGAACCTTCTCCTTTGATATTAAATTCTTTATACCTGACTGTCCGAAATGGATGTCTTCATATTGGATTGCAACTCCCAGCATCATCAGATGGGCTGGCTGGGGATACTGGTACCCTGTTTACCCGAAAATAAGACCTAACATGAAAATGAGCCCTAGTAAGATTTTTCAGGATGCTCGTCATATAAGCCCTACCCCAACAGTTAAGTGAAACCCCGCCCTCCACCCTTGTGCAGCAACTAGAAGATGACATGACTATACTGTATTTGAATAAATGTAGATCGTTGTACATGAAAAAAACATCCCCGGAAAATAAGCCCCAATGTGGTTTTTTGGAGTAAAAATTAATATAAGACCCTGTCTTATTTTTGGGGAAACACAGTAGTTGATCTTCAACACTGGAGGGCATGAATGTGGGGAAAGTTTAACTGATGCTTCAAGCATCTTTTCATGATCCAGCTTTTTCCTGGATGCTGCTGTATAGTGCATCAGAGCGTGGTTCTGTCTAGCCCAACTCTGGGCTGATAGCAAGGGCTCCGCCCGGTTTCCGGTTGGATTCTTCCCTAGCCCTACTTAGAAATTCTCAGGTATTCCCTGGTGGTCTCTTGCCCAAGTACAAACCAGGCCTGACCCTGCTTAGCTTCCATAATCAGAGGAGATCTGTTTTGTTCAAGTTTCTACAACATTCTAAAGGGGCAGTTTTAAAATGAAATGAACCACATAGATGACTGTGTGAGCAAATCTTTGTGTTGATTTGGATGGGTTGGTTGGCTTTATCTAAACGTTTACACCACCCATTGAGTGTCAAAGCCACTACGTATTCTGGGCAACTTACAATCCAGAGTTTCAGTCCTGCCCCATTAAAAGAAAAATTAAAGTACTGTAGAAAGCTTTGTGCATTTATTTGTTTCTTATCAACGGAGCATAGCATTTAATGGCGCATCCCTCTGATATGCCGTGCATATGGAGGACGTTACTGGGTAAAACGGTAAGATGGGGATGGATCTGGGTCACCCAAAACCACCATGCTGCAAGGCAAATGGACACCCTACTACAATGACTTAGTTGGGAGAAAACAAAGATGTTGGTTGTGAAATTGACTATACAGATCTTACAATGGAGAAGGAATTAGGAGCAGAGAGACCGGTGGAATTCATACTGTTGGTAGCAGACCTCTGTCAACTCATCCCTGATTCCCTTTCTGATTTCTATATCTCGTTACTTTATTAAAACACTTTGGAATGGGACAGACTTTAGATTAGGCATCCTTCAGTCTTGAGAGACTATGGTAACATGCTCTTAACAGAGGTCTTGGAACAGAGTCTAGTGTGGCTGAGAAGGCCAATTCAAGAGTGACAATCCCTTCCACACTGAAGACAAATACAATCTGTCCCCTGTCCAGCTCCCCGATTTTGCTGCTTTCGGGACTGCCTCTTGGCCTCAGCCTGCTGGACAAGGGTCTCTTCAAATTGGGAGAGGCCATGATGCACTGCCTGTCTCCAGGCTGAACTTTCAGAGGTCAAGGTTTCCCATCGGTTGAGGTCCATTCCTAAGGCCTTCAGATCCTGTTTGCTGATCTCCTTGTATCGCAGCTGCGATCTCCCTCTGGGGCGATTTCCCTCTGGGCGATTTTTGGGACAGACTATTAGAATGTTTAAATACAGCAGCAGATATACCAGTATTGCAGTTCTTAAAACATCTCTCCTCCCACCCACCCATTTTGTTTCCCACAACCAGATTCCGAAGCCAGTGCTTTTATGATGAAGAGAAGGAACCGTGCAATGGATTTGAACTCCCCAAACCTCTGGCCATTTGCGACATTGCCGTGCGCATCTTGCACACCCATTATGATCACTTGTCTCCTTGCCCAATGTTCCCCAAAGAGCCACCCAAGCTGGAAATGTCAGCCCCCAAACCACTGGTTTCTGTGAGTAGTGTGGAAGGGAAAGGAAAAACGGACCGAACATCTCCCAGCAGAGCGGAAAGCCAGTCGGATGCAACTGCAGATAGAACAAGGGTAAGGTCGGGGTTAGTGGAGGAAAGAGTAGCATTAATATAGCATAGCAAATAAGAGGTGCCCTAAATCAAGAGGTACAGAGTACTCTTGCCCGAGCGATAAGAACACCAGTAGACCTCTGTGGCACCTTTGTTGCCTGTGTGATCCAGCATCCTGTTTTCCACTATTGCCAGCCAAATGCTTGTAGGAAGGCCAAAAGCATGGGATGAAGTAAGTCAGATTTTCCTACTTTTACCTCTCCCCTAGGAACAGGTATTCAGAATTATAGTTTCTCTAATGCTCATAGAATTACAGAATAGTGAAGGCCTGATCCTGTGTCGGAATCTGAATGATTTTTTTTCAGCAGTCTAAAAGAATATCCTATAGTTCTAGCTGGGATCCAGCAGATGATCTGGACTCTGATTGGATGAGATATTTTAGCTACCAGTATGGTAACCATCTGTAAACATCCTTGAACTAGGCTTTCAGGTGCAATTGCTGCAATAACATCTATAGCACAAATGACATAAAATTCATAATAAGCCTGACCAAACAGGGGTGAGAAACCATCTTTCAGCTTCCTCTAGATAATGATGGTACTATTGTTACTTTGCAACCACCATTCATTCCATTTGCAGATCATCCCACCTTAATTCTCCACTTGAAGTCATAGGCTGGTTTTGCATCAAATGCAAACTTCTAAAAGCATTTTCCTAGCTATATTCTTTGTGGAAAACTAAATACCAGTAGCTTTCTGTTTACAGCAGAGGTGGTAAGTCTGGTGAGAAATTGGCCAATGTGCCTTTTATAGTTTCAGGAGTGAGATGAGTGGATGGGTGGGGGGTTGCTGAGGAACCTTTAATAAGACTATATTTCAAAGATCATTTTTATAACCATTGTGCTTGAGGATCCTTAAAATTAATCAGGTCTTAAAGACTCTGCTGTTAACGTCTGCTTTTTACCTGATTAATTTAGCCCCCCCCTTTAGCATCTACATTTCACCATCTGTCAAGTGGAAAAGATTGATGATCTATTGTTTTGTATCTTGTTTGCTGTTATTTTTGTCAACGAGTGTCTCTATTATTTGTCAGCCACCTTCAAAGGATTGGGATCCTGAAAAGGATATAAATAACTAGAATCAATAAATAAATAAAAAAATAAGTATTTGATTTTAGCTGAGTCTTTTACATGGAACATTTTTAAATTCTTGCTGCTTTTTGACATTTTTCAATGTTTAGTTAGTTTTGATGGTATGGTTGAATTGTGGATACCAGGTTATTACTTTTATCTGTCTTGACAATATTTATTTGTGAGCCAGCTTGAGAGGACTTTGAAGTCCTTCTAAGTGGTATTTAAAAATCTGAAATAGATAAAAAGCGTAGAGCTGGCCCGCGTTTGTAAAAGGGCCCCTCTTTCCTCACCTCGCTCCCCTCCCGTTTCTAGAGTTTGAGTCACGTCCTCTCCAACGAAGACATGAAGAGTGTTATCCAAGAGACTGAAAATGCCAGCGGCTCTGACATGAGGATCTCTTCCATTATTCAGACGGTTTCCCGAGGTACTTAGGTCAACGTTTTGAGCGCTGAATGACAACCGTCACTTAAAACTGCTTGGCATGGTCGGTCTCCTTCCATGGGGGAGGTGCGGGGGTTATAATGAAATTCCTACCCCATCTTCCAAGGCTGGCCTCAGCCTTGCACCCAGCAGATCCTTTCCTTGAGCTCAAGCTACAAGAAGACAGATTGAGGCTGAATACAAAGAAAAACCTCTCAACTGTTAGAGCAGTATGACAATGGAAACAGTGACCTTGGGAGTTGGTGAGTGCCCCAGCCCTGGAGGCATTCAAGAGAAAACTGGACAACCCTCTGTTAGATCTGCTTTGATTTGGATTCCTGCAATGGGCAGGGTGGTGGTGGTGAGGGTTGGACTCAATGGCCTTGTAGGTGCCTTCCAATTCTATGATTCCATGATTCCTCTTGGAGGCTTCTTTCTGCTTTCTGTCAAGGGTTTCCAGTGCTTCTCTTAACTACACCAACACAATTACTGAGGTACATGTTTGCACTAGGGGCTGTTTCCGTCCCCTGATCCTCCTTGTTACCCTCCTCTGAACTTGCTCCAGTTTGTACACCTCCTCCTCAAAGCAGGGTGCCCAGAAATGGGTAACCTGACCTTTTTAAATAGGTAGAAAGGACCAGTAACCAACATGAGGCACAGCCTCAGGCTGCCTGTTTAGAAGTGGTAGGAACAAACAAGAGAGCTGCCTGTAATGCATTAGAACCAGTGTTAACACCAAGCCATGGGTCGTTGTTGTTTTCCAGCTCAGGTTTCATCATTGCACATCCCAGAGGTCACAGAACTGGAGCCTCTTGAGGAGTTTGTGGTGGATCTGCACCAGTTTATGCCTGTGGGTGGCGTCTACCATTTTGATGCGCTGAAACTCCCGCCTCAAGCCAAGCAAGTCAAAGGGTGGACCATGGTGGAAGTAATTGCCATCCTGCTGCTCATCACAAGGGAAGGGAAAGCAGGCTGGGTTGACAAAAAGTGTATAACATGAACGAAGAGAGTTATGTAGAGCTCAGGAGGTCCAGGTTGTAAGATCTTCCCAGGCAGCTGTTGTTTCTGCAGGGTTAGGTGCTTAAGTTATATCATTGTTGTTAAAGGTAAAGGTTCCCCTTGACATTTAGTCCAGTCGTGTCCAGCTCTAGGGCGCAGTGCTCATCCCTGTCTCCAAGCCGTAGAGCCAGCGTTTGTCCATAGACCATTTCCATGGTCACATGGCCAGCATAACTAGACATGAAACGCCATTACCTTCCCACCGTGGTGGTACCTATTTATCTACTTGCATTTTTACATGCTTTCAAACTGCTAAGTTGGCAGGAGCTGGGTCAAGCGACGGGAGCTCCCTCCGTCACATGGATTCGATCTTATGACATCTGGTCTTCTGACCTTGCAGCACAGAGGCTTCTGTGGTTTAACCCGCAGCGCTACCACATCCCATTGTTGTTATAGACCTCTGTCTATTTCTGAGCTATCAGATTTCAGTAGGTGTAGTATAGCTACATCTGTACCAGCTATAGTACCAGCTAATAACAAGCCAGTTAAGCATGTAGTTAGGAGAGGAAGAGACAAAGAAATAAGTTTGGGAAAAGAACTGGAGAAATAGGGCTTCCATCAAACATTATGGGAACTACAGCACTCTAAAGTCTTTAAAAATCATACGCTACAGTAAATCATATTTTGAAACTAGGAAAGACAAAATTCAGTGACATCCTAGACGAAAGCAAAGCCATCCCCAGAGCTGAACCCTTAAATTACATTCAAACTGTGTTCCCTTTTTCTGCTTGCTGTTGAAAGATGCTGGATACAGGGTTAGAGGTCTGGCCTTATGTCGCTGTCTGCGAAGAAAATGAAGATCCTTCCGCTGTGACCGTTGGGATCACCGTCCGGCTGCTTGACAACGTGATCTACTTTGAAGAGCCTCTGCTCGCGAGATGGGATGCCTCAGGTGCGCCATCTTGGAACAAGTCGCTTGGTTTCTGTGTTTGTCCGCCGAACAAGGCTAATGCCGTGAGAGGCGAGAGTTGTGGGGTGGAGCTAGCAGAGGGGCAGCCCATGGCCAGACCCTTCCCACTGGGGTCACCGTCCGGCTGCTTGACAACGTGATCTACTTTGAAGAGCCTCTGCTCGCGAGATGGGATGCCTCAGGTGCGCCATCTTGGAACAAGTCGCTTGGTTTCTGTGTTTGTCCGCCGAACAAGGCTAATGCCGTGAGAGGCGAGAGTTGTGGGGTGGAGCTAGCAGAGGGGCAGCCCATGGCCAGACCCTTCCCACTGGGGTTGGCCTTCCCATTTGACAATGGGAGGCACCTTTTTTTAAGGAGCAGACTGTCAGGAATTCCCCGGCTACGTTTAACAAATGCCACTGCTTGACGTGGCCCTCCAGGGCTCAGTTCCAAAGGCCAGTCTGTGTGAGGACTCCATTGCATGGACACTGTCCATTTCCCCACGCAGCCCACTCCACAATGGCTGGCTCTGAGGACATCTCAGAAACCGGAGTTTAGAAAAATGGTTGGCTGTGGGGAGAGGTTATGGTGGCTGCTAACCCACCTCAGGCCAAGCTTGAGTGGCTCCTGTTTTCCACCTCAGTGCTCTCCACTCACCTGTTCCCTGTTCCAATCTCAGACAGTTTTGAGAGCAGAAGTGAAGCCAGAAGGGAGAAATAAAGGCTTAAGGTGTGTGGGAAGGAATTGGTAGGAAGGGGTAAAGCACTTGCTTCTCCCAAAATGTCAGCTTCTTGAGCCGGACTAGTCCTGAGCCAAGTCTCCTTCCTCACACTGCTTGCTTTACCATTGTTGAGAAAACACACGTTTGCTAATCAAGGGCATCGCTGATACACATGTAGGTTCCTCAATTTGCTTTGTTGCCATTGTACATATTTATTTTCGTGTTTTTATGACACTCAGACACTTATAATGTTCTAAGATCGACTTAATTTTACTGTATTGATATTACTGTCACCCACTTTGAGGTGGGTGGGAAGGGGCCTGGACTATTTTGAAAATAGTTTCCTGTCCTTCTAGGAGGCTGTCCTTCTACAATCGCTGTAGGATAAAAATGTACCTCATCCCATGGCATCCCCTTTAAAAATGAAGTAGCAACAGGGAAAAACCTTTTCCTATGAGTTCAAATGTGTATCTCTAGGATTAACAGGTATAAGATGAGCATGGACGACGCTGCTCTGGAAGGAAAAGCCAGAAATGTGATAAACCACAATCTTTAGAACAGGATGTTGATATCAGGGATAAACAACATAATTATTATCTTTCGCGAAGGCTTTCATGGCCGGGATCTAATGGTTGTTGCAACAGAGAATGGACAGAGTTCCTACTCCAGTCCTCTGAAGATGCGGGCCACAGAGACTGGAGAAACATTAGGAAGAATAAACCTCCAGAACATGGCCAAACAGCCCAAAAAACCTACAACCACCATCTTTTCCTAGTTTGTTTAAGCTGAAAAAACACCCTGGGAATTTAGGCTGCCCTTTTTTTTTGTCATTATCCCTGCCCACCATTTTCATGAAGCACCTGAGAACCTCTGTGAAGTTTAATTTGACCCTCAGACAGAATGAGGTCCCCCCCCTTGTCCGGAGTAGACAATATTCAAGGACTTTCCCTTCTCTCTCCATTAACACTTGTATGAATTCTCTTCTCATGCCCTGTTGAGATGCTTTTTGGTTTCCTTCCCTTAAAGGCAAATCCTGGAGAACGGATGATATTGGGGAAGTGGTCTACCACATGAAAGAAAAGGAGATCACTTTCAAAATGAACGGCTTCTTCACTGTAACGCTCTTACAGGATGCCCACCTCAACATGCCTTACCAGTCCTGGGAACTTCGGCCCCTTGGAGTTGATGAAGCCATTCTCATCATCTTCACTACCTTTGCCGAGGTGCAGATTCACATCAAGGTACACTAAGATTGGGGTCTGTATTTACTTAGAAGTGTGGTTGCAGTATGTACCTACACTGTACAGTTTTATTGGGCTGATACCATGTTAACGATCTTGGCTTTATTTTTTTTTGTACTGTATTTTTCCATGTATAAGACTATACTTTTGTCTAAAATCTTTAGACTAAAAATTGAGGGTTGTCTTATACACA